ATTGAATCATGTTGATGTCTTGTTGAGTTCATGATAAACGTCAACCCTCTCCTTGACATTATGTGATCTGATGATATATGTTGTGTGAAAATGCTGTTTTGGTGTATCCTTATGAATTTATTTATCACATGTTATGATTAATTGTCGTTTTGGCGTCCTTCTCTTTGATTTGTTGTCGAAACTGAAGGACGAGGGTTAATTTCGTGGAAATCCTAGATTTCTAAGTAGTTTAAAGAGTCTTTGAGCTATTAGTTCAGGTTTGGAGTCGTTTCAATGTTTATATTATGAGTTATGATTTTTCTAAATCGAGCATACTGCTGAACCTTGATAAAATCACTAAAAATCGTGTAGTTGTACGTTTAAGCTGAATTTTTGATATGTTGTACCTCTTTGGATGTTACATGATTGTGCAAAGTCCCTGAATTAATCTCGGAGTTTAACTTATCAAATTGTTGAAAATGAGTTTCGGTCAGAATCTTGTAAAAATCATAAAAATCGAATACTTGGAGTTTTGAGCTGAAATTTTGAGGGTAGTGTTGTTGTTGTGTCAAAATTTCAAGTCGAAGTTCGAAGTATAGCTGCTTGAACTCTAAACATCGAATTTTGGTGCTATTTTTGTTCAAATTATTTGAAAATGCTCCAGGATGAAATAAGGGATGAAACTTGGTGAAAATATGTAATTTTATGTGCTCTATTATGTGGTAAATTGTCAGCTTAATATCCTGAGCCTAACCTAAACTATTGGTAGTTTCGTTTTATAGCCTATGTAACTGTTTTTCTAACTATTTGATTTTTCCGCTGACCCGATATATGTTTTACATGTCATATGTGATCTTTTTGGATTATATGAGATGTTTTGAGTCTAGTAGTCAACTCCAAGTACTGAACTCTGTTAAGGAATCCACGACTCACTTAGCCGATATGGTTTCGGCTAAGTAGGTGTTGCTTTGTGTGTTGCTTTGTGTGTTGTTTTGTGTTGTATAGTCTGTTGATAGGACTACCGTAATTGTTGTAGGTTCATCGAGCTGAACTTTTGCCATAATTCCTTCAACTACCTGTGTTTGGATATATATCCCGGTATCCATGTGGGTTTATTTAAAATGTCTATGCCATGAATGACAAATGTTTATTTATGTGGGTATGATCAATGTATGCCGGTGAACATGTAACCTTCGATATGAGCTATACCGGCCGTCGAACGGTTATCCCCGTAGCTATAGAACGTACCCCGCGAGGTTAATCTCCTCTTGAGTCCTTTGCGAAGGACGCGTCGCTTGTAAGTCCAGTGCGGTGCTCGGCCGACAATGTATTACATGTCTAAAGCACTAGGTGCTGACAGTTGAGCCTCCTACTGTAAGCATCGATGTAAGGCTAGAGCGAGAGAATTCGTTAAGTACCAACAGTAGTCTATTGTTATAGGTGTGCACATGAGATATTTATGTACTTGGGATAGGAGATGGGATATTTAATGATTTGTGTTCATACTGCGACCATGTGTAACACCCCGCTAGCTTATTAAAATCAGAGTTAAATATTCGCAAATCCTTCTGTTAAAATACTTATTAGTTTGCGAAATCGTGACTCGGAATGCTACAGAAAACATTTCTTTTCTAAAAATCTGTTAACTTGGCTAATTTAAAACTATTTTAGAAAAACGGATTATCTTTTATCAAACCGGCATGTAATACTGTATAAATCCGACCAGAAAGTTCGGATCAAAAACTGAAAACTAACATGCGAGTTTTGAAAGTCTGAAAACGTCAGCGAAAGTAAAATCGTGGCAAAATAATATATACATGTCATCAGTCTGCAAAAATTATATTTACTGGATCATCGAACACCTGCTCCGCTCACTCCTCTGGACCGACCCTGTTGCCGTAAAAAGATAATATAGTGGGAGCGTGAGCACTAAAGCCACTATGCTCCGCAGAAACTCATACTAAAGTAAACATTATTGATAATATCAATATCATGACTGCAGGTATATATAAGTAAACTGTAATCTCCCGACTCTGGGTCGGTATCTGAACTGAACTTTCTCGGACACTATGTCCGTACCATGTGCACACTCTGATGGGCAATTAAGGCTACTGCGTCTCCACCAGAACTCTAAATGGGAAATTAAGGCTACTGCGCCTCCACCCAAAGTGCATAACTCATATACATACCTTAAACATGGTAGAGTAATTATAATCAATGTAATACCCAGTTTGAGTTCCCACCTAAACTGCTAATCTGACAGTGTAAGTGTTGCTGCTGATTAATCTGTAAAAATATATATATAAATAAACAAACACTAAGTACTATGCTCAGACTGACTGAAAATAGTTGTTAAGATGCTCGACTCGATCTAAACATTTAACTGACATGATCTCAGGGTTTAACTTGACTGACAAGAAAACC